CATTGTTTTTTGGTTAAATATATAAATTTATAGGGTTAATGGCTTTGCTAAAAATTGATTTTCATTAAATTTTTTAGTGGGAGAACCAGAATTTGTTAAGAGCTTCGGTAATAATGGATTTTTTTTAGTAGGTTTACTTTTTTTTTTTTTTTTTTTTTTAGTGGGAGTACTAGGGTTTCGTCAAGCTAAGTTTGGGGTTTTGACTTTCATCAGAAGGATTTGAGAGTTTCGACTTTCATCAGAAGAATTTGAGGTTTCGACTTTCGGCAGAGGTTTCGTCATTTAGGGCTCAGGTTTCGACTTTCATCATCAAGCAAAAATGGTTTTGTCTAACAACTATACCTGGCACACATGTTGCATAATGCAATGTAGATGGTTTAAAAGTTCAAAATGTATATTGAAATTATTATATGAATTTAGCTTAATGAATTTTTTAGGTATTATTTAATGTTTTAATTTTATATGATGAGTAATCTCATGCTACACATAAAAAGAAGTTCGTATAATAAAGTAGTTTTCAAGAGTAAAATTTACTTTTGATATCTAACTTTATTTATTATGTTAACATATAACAATTATAAATACTAATTATTTTTTGTAAGTTTAACCGGTTAAATAAAAAAATCAAACAAGTTATTATTATTATGAGTATATACGAAGAAGAAACTAGTTATCATAGTTTATGATGTGTTAACAAACGTGATAAACCAGCTAGTTTAACCGATTTTAATTTTAGGCGTCGCTACCCTGCGATGTGCTTATACATCGCATTTTAATGATCGACCAACCAAAACGTAGCAAAATAGATTTTACATATGAAACTATCCTTTGTGCTCTAACAAAAAAAATTCCTCACGAAGTTTTACTATAAAGCTCATCTAACCCTAACCCTAGCCCGTACACTTACTCTCACCTCACCCTAACCCTAACTAAACAAAAACATGATTTATTTTAGTCAAATTATAATCTTGTATATATGCGACGTATAAGCACATCGCTAGTAGCGACGTATAGATTTATTCTTTATAAATTACTGTATTTATCGGAAAAATTAGTTTTTACGTACATAGGGACCTTTTTTTTTTTTTTTGAAGGCTTGTCTAGTGATACAAACCTTACATGAATTGCTTCTTCGACCTGCAGTATCTTAAACTAATTTTTTTTACAGAAGTTTTCAACTGGGCAAATTTGCCCCTAAATTGTCTCCAGCTTGCTTAATTAAACGAAGCTCTTAAGCCATATTTATTTAAAGAATTATGAAAATATGAGTACCCAATGTTAAAATTCGGATTATATGGAAGGTTTGGATTTTTTAAATATATTCAAACACTTATCCTATCGACTTTTATTCATTAATCAATGTTTATTTTTCCTTTGCTAAAAAAGTTATATCTTTGGTTTCATGGTTATTATTGAAGAAAAAAGTTACAAAAAATCATTTATTTAAGCTAAAATTTAAGATGCAATCGGTAGAGATTGAAAATAACACATGTCAATTAAAAATTGAATGACGCAGGACATTAATATATTGTATACAGGATTACAAACACATCAATTTACATATGTCCAACCATCATCCAATCATAATCCAGATTTTGTACACTTGTTGTTTGTAAACCATACACTTCGTAATTTGCATTACTACTTTCCTGGTACTGGTATGCAAAGGCAAAAATACCTACATTCGTACATTTCTAGTTCTTCAATATTTAATACTGAATTTGAAATCTCACTAATATTTGATGTAGAATTTGAAATCTCACTAATATTTGATGTAGAATTTAAATTTTTATCAATATTTGATGTAGAATTTAAAGCCTCAATATTCGATTTTGAACTTAAAGTTTCAGCAATTGATGCTGAACTTAAAGCCTCACTTAAACTACGATAAGCATCAGAATCTTCATCAATTTCGCTAATTAATTTTTGAATAATGTCAAGATTAGTTGTAATTAATTTGCTATTATCTATATCTTCATCAAGTTCATTTTCGTCAACAGATATTACATTATTTATATTAATGTTTTCAAGATTAAATACAACCTCTTCAATAGTTGGTCGTTGATCAGGAATCGATTTCCAACATTCTAACAATTATAAAATCATGATATGTTTATTAATTAAAATAAATAATATTGATAATAAGTTACTACCTTCATAAATGAATGCGTAATCTTTTGGTGTTCCATGAACTGGTTTTTCTTTTAATCCGGAGATAATACGCGAAAGTAAACTGAGTAATGGTTCAAATTTAAATGGTTCTCTACCACTTGATAGCTCCCATAATAGTACACCTAAACCATAAATATCCGATTTCTTAGTTCGACTATAATTTGGAAAACTTTTAAGGAATTCGGGATCCGAGTAACATAGCGATCCAATTGCCTTCGTTAATTGAATTGATGGATCTGCAATAAATTTTGAATTTCCAAAATCACCAAGCTTTACAATTTTATTATGAATGAGTACGTTTTCGGAATGCTAAAAAGAAAATATATTAAAATAAAATAAATAAGTATTAACATGAAATATGGTTATAATTAATTAAAATATAGGGGAAGTCGATTGAAATATGGGACAAACTTTTTCTAAAATTTTTCGAATTTTAAATTTAAAAAATATCTTAATTATCAAACCAAATTTGATAAAGATTTTATTGTTTTAATTTTACATAGTTATAGAATAAAATAAAAAACTTTATCAAATTTTGGTAGTTACTGAGATATTTTAATTTAAATTTAAAAGCTACTAAGAATCACTTCCCCATTCCTACTGACTCCCCCATATAACAGTTAAGTTATCAAGCTACCAAATCCCTATGAATTATATCATGTGAATGTAAAAACTTTATAGCATCAGCTAGTTGTGTTGCAATGTGAAGTTTATTATCCCAATTTAATACGTCAAAATTCTCGCATAAATACTCTTTAAGAGTACCATTATTCGCATATTCAAGAACTAGTATAAATTCGTTTGGCTCTAAAAAAGTATATATTAAATATGTATATATTAATAATAACGTAAAATAAAAATAAATTTAATTAAGAATAATCACCATTTTTAGTTATTCCATAGAAATTTAAAATATTATTATGTGAACCAACATGAATATGTTGCTTAAGCTATCGTAATAAAAGAGCATTAGTATTTGAATTATACTTGATTTCATCATATATTATATACAAACCTCGTTAATTAGTAATTCTATTGTATAAGAAGGATTAATTTTAATAGATTTTAAGGCTACTTTATCTTTAAATTCAGGGGATATTGCACTAGAAACATCTCCGGATGAACCACGTCCGATAGGTATTATGTTATTAAATATCTTATAATCATATTGAATAATTTGATTATTTATGATAGCACTGTTAAGCCATTCAATATGTTCGCACCTTTTAGCCATCAGAAAATGTCAGTTTATAGAAGTGGAAAAAAGATAGATTTAGTGATAGACACAATGAATGCCCGCAAAGAAAAACCTTT